GAGGAGAAGAAGAAGAAACAGGAGGAGGTGGCTCTGACAGGTGTGGTCTCTGATAGGCTGATGAGCTCACCTTGCTGAAGGACACCTGCTCCTGACAGATGGGGCAGCTGTGAGTCAGGAACTTAAGGGCTAATGGGAAATCTCTGTTGAGTTGGACCGCCTCCATGACATCACCTGGGCTGAAGCTCCTCCCCTCCATGGTCATCAGAGACAGGTAGATGGCTGCCTTGTCTGGAGGAAGACGGGCCGCCATCTGAAATGTTAAGAGGAAGAAGATAGATATTAGACCACCTGAGACCTGCTTAGACCACCTGAGACCGAACCGGACTCGTGCCATTCAAAGTGGATCGGTTGTTATTTTAATGGATATGAGTGATTAATGTGCATGATGTGTCCACCATGACGTTACTAGCACAAGGACTGTTGCTTTTGCTGATAATCTGGATGCTGCTGGGAACAACCCAAACACTCTCACGCAATATAGGCGAGTTGCCATTGTGGCTCGAGACTCGAGTATTGGTGTGTACATCAGTGACCGCTATTGTAGGAACTACATTGTGAGAGAGTCTGTATGTAACGCTGATGTTGATCTGGCTCTCATTGAGACCCTTTTACCTTCCAAGAGAGTTTGGGAACATTAACTCGGCCATTCTGGATGTCACTAACTCGGCTTCTTCTCCGGAGTCTTTGTGCTCCACTGTCTCTCAGATTAACTCATATCGCAGCGGTGCCTGGACAGCGTGACGTGTGTGGTTGTGCTGCTGCCGTGGTCCTGCCAGATGCCTCCTGCTGCTGCTGCCATCATTAGTCATTAGTCATACTTCTACTGTTATTATACACATATGACTATTGTCACACAAGTATACTGTCTGATACTAATACATACTTTCAACATATTGTACCACAGTAGCCAGAACTATAACTATAATATTATTACTTTCATTAATGTTGTTGTAAGCTACTGTCATTACCTGCATCTCTCGTGATCTTGGGCTTTATAAATAAAACTGATTGAAAGTGAGACCCACTGAGAACACCTAAGACCTGCTGACCCATTTGTCCTCCTCACCTTGGCGTGTTCCTCTCCAGCTGCAGGTTCTGACTGAATTCTCTGAGTCCCAAGACCAGCTGTTGGTCCAGGACCTGTGTCGTGACCATCTCTGGCTGCCTCTGATTGGACTGTCTGTACTGGTGACCCACCCTGCTGGTCTCTGCTGGACTCTGTGTCCAGCCTCAGAGCTCCCATCCTCCTGCTGAGAGGGTCTGCAGGGGCCACACCTGTGGAGACCAGGACCAGGTGGAGTCAGGCAGGAGTCTGTGCACCTGTTCTGCAGTGTTTGGGACTGGTTACAGTTATAATTAACATCACTACCCAGCAGTCAGCAGGACAGAGATTCAGACTGTGCAGGTCTGCCTCAGTCTGGATCAGGTGTCTCACCTGAGGAGGGGGAGGAGCTCAGGAATGGGTTGTTGTGGTTGTTGGAGGAGGAAGATAAAGGAGGAGGCGCACTGAAGTCGATCCCCAGCAGCTCCTCAGTGTACGACCTCCTCACCCTCACCTCCTTGCTCTGCTCCCATTGGCTGGCTGCAACAGAGGGGGAGGGGCTTCGTCGGGTCACTTTAGAGACAAACACACGTCACATTTAGCTGAGCCCAGGATCATGACAGGAAGTTTACCTTTCAGTCCAGACAGGCGGGAGGAGGTGAGGGGGAGGTGGTGGCTCTTTGAAAAGGAGGAGGTGATAGAGGAGGTGATGGCGGAGGAGGAGGTGATGGAGGTGGGAGGATGAATGCTGCAGGAGGAGAACACTAAGATATAAAACCTTCCTTATAACCAAAAGCTGTTATTGATTATTACCAATAACCATGAGCTTGGAGACCACACCTTCCAGCTAACACTGACACCTGCACACCTGCAGGGGGCGGGGCTTGGACTGGAGACCTGGCATACAGGGGCGTGTCCCTCTGGAAGGCCCGCCTCATCTCTGACACAAGCAGTGACAGGTTGGACACGCCCTAACAGGAAGTGACATACACAACATTGTTATGATCTCAACTGATTGATTTTAACCAGGCTAATGCTACATGCTAACCACAGCTAATGTTCAACTGCTGACTAATCAGGCTAATGCTACATGCTCACCACAGCTAATGTTCAACTGCTGACTAACCAGGCTAATGCTACATGCTAACCACAACTAATGTTCAACTGCTGACTATCCAGGCTTGTCTGACTGAGCATACTCAGTGGGCCTTACATGAGTCCAATTTTTCAGTCCATCCAGACTGATGTTGCCGGAGGCATCTACACAGGAACAGGATGGGTTGATCACCATGGAGACAGAGGGACAGACGAAACAGCGAGGTCTGGACACCGGGTGGGTCTCATGAAGCCAGATACACACTGGGATATTATACTCACTTCCTGTAAAGAAAACACAAGACTTAAAGAGTCAACATTTTGAAAAAACAAAACAAACAAACAAAAAAAAAAAGAGAAAAAAAGAGATGTTTTCTTGGGGAAATACATGACTGTCAGAGAAGCCCCGTTTACAAACAGACCTACAATCCATCTCCTCTCCCTTCTCAGCGGAGGATGACCTGTCAGCCCTGCACTGACAGTGACAGGGCGCATCTCTTTGATCTGAAGTGACACAGAGCATTTGCTCATGCTTCGGGGTCATTCAATAGAGTAACTGCAAATAAATATTGTTTTAATGTGTAACTATTGAAATGTTCATAAGGGCTTTCATAAAGTCCTACAATGTTGCAGCACTGCCACCTTTGCAGGTTAAAAGTTAATGATAGCGACTTGAAGTGAGGAGGAGCAACACGTCTCCGGCTTGTCAGTGCAGCGGTGTCAGTACAGACACGCTCACTTTTGCATGTGGTGCAAAATATGAAAATAACGTGGTAGTGATTGACGTAAAACACGTGCCAAGGACGTAACTGGGTCTACAGCTGCCTCCGTCTCACTCAGACTCACCCTGGGTCTGCAGCTGCCTGTACCGAAGAGCAGCATGAAAGAGAGGAGTGCTCACTCTGCAGCTAAATCTGGGGAACTAAATGTTGCACACTGACTGATAACAAAACAATGACAAAAAAAGAGGAAAGAACGACAGCTCAACTTGAAGCAGACAGACAAACGGACATACAGACTACAGATGGACAGACGGACAGTGACTGTTTGGTTATCAGAGTCTCACCTTCGTAGAGAACAGGAAGTGTCCCTGCCAGGTAAACCAGCTTCTTCTTCTCTTTGTTTGGGAAACCTGTCAGAGGACAAGTTACCTTCAGGTCTGTTCATCAGCCACCATTGTTCAGCTGTTCTTACAGCAACAGGAAGTTAGTTATTGTTTCTGTCAGCTGATTGGCTGCTCACCAGCACGGTCAGCAGTGACGGTACCTGTTCTTCTGTGTTCTTCACCCCTCTGCACATGGACACGTGAAAAACATACATGTAGTTTTCTTCAGTATCAAAATCATGTGATGGTTGTCTGAACACCACTGCAGACGGACAGAAGCTTATCTGTTCTGCGTCTGCAGCCGGGATGTCACGATACCAAAAATTCAGTAGTCGGTGCTGATACCAGTAAAATCACACGATTCTCGATACCAAAGTCGATACCAGGGCAAAAAAATAAAATAAAAAAAAAATTTAAAAAAATCCTAAGATCCCATGTACTTAAACAAGAAATACTTCATTAAAATATTTGCAAATAAAATAACATTTCTATCAACAGTTTGATATCACGTATATACTGGGGTGAAAGTAGTTTTAAATTCTTGCTGGTACTATTACCAAAACCTTCATTGCTTCATATTGTTCAGCTCTCCTCGCTTCATGCATTTTTAAAAAGCAAAGTCAAAAACCAAACAAACAAACAAAAACATTTCAATATTTTACTGTACCTGTATGGAGCAGAAAGAAATTAGAAACACTTCACAAAGTGTATAGTAGAATATTTGTTGTAATGTTTAGGGTGCTGGCGTGTATGAAACCTTGATGAACATTTAAACCCATGCATGTCATTTTTTTCTTTTCGTCGTTACCTATTTTTCGTTGTAAAAAACATTGATCAATATCTGCAATAAACTAAATATTTACTATTTAAATATTTACTATTTAAATCACGCTGACAGCATTTGAGCCGACCACAAGAATGTGTGGAGTTTTGCTGGTTTCATTTATTGTTTGTCCTGTCCCGGTTCAAACGGCGTTTTTTGACGTCCGTGGTCCAGTTGTGGGAAAAACAAACGTCCCAGTACAATAAATCAAACGCACCCCAACCACTGTGTTTCAGAAGTAGACGCGCATGCGCAGTCACGTACTGCTGAGAGTGAAGTCCCTGATCGTTAGCTCACACGCAGCTGGTTCAAGCTGTTCTCTGTGTACAAACAGACAAAGTTTAAAACTGCATATATTGATAGCAGATCTATTTTCTGGCCTAAAGTGCGGCCGTGGCTGGTT